GGGGGGGGCAAGGAGCCAGGGGAAGACCTATAAAAATGAGAAATGACAGCACAGCGCCTGCTCCGCCACTGACCTAAGGGAAGGGAAAGGTGCCATCGCAAAAACGAATCACACAAACCCATTAAAACATGAGCATCTGTCAAAATAACACCATTTCAATTAAGTTAATGTCTTTTCTCTCTTCCTCTCCTCAGGCCCCAGTTACCCGCTGTCGCAGCCTCCCCTCCTTCCCTGGGAAACCCTTCCCGGGGTCCCTTCTCCCCAGAACAAACCCCTGGTGGCCCCTGGGGGTCCCAAAGTCACGGGTGGTGGGTGTTCAACAAGCTCTGCCAAAGGCACAGCCCATCGGGTGAGATCCCTCAACCCCCTCGGCCGAGACCCTATTTGGGGACCTCTCCCCCCTGTCCCCATGCTGGGGGGGGTCTCAATATGGGGTGTGCATCGGGGGGTGGTTTTTGGAGAACAAGCCTTCTCCTGGGAGACCTTAAGGCAGCAAAGCCTGGGGAGTTGGGGACAGGGGGCATCTCCCCGCTGTCCCCCTGCAGGGTTAACAGAACCAATGTCCAAAATGGGGCAAGAAAAGCTGTTCCAGGGTTAGACCCGACCGAAAATTGCCTGGGCACAAAACCAGGCACTGAGAAGCCGTGGCAAAGCCCCCGTTTATTTTGGTTGGAGCTCGGTGTTTGTGCTTTGTCCTTACCCTTCCTTGGTCAAATGTGGAGCTGTTTTGATCTCCCGTTCCCCAGGAACCTGATCCCGGTCTTTCATCCAAACCTACCGAAAAACAGGAAGAACAAAGGTTACTCCTGCTTTATCAGCAAAGCCTCAAAGGTGTTCTCGCAAAATTAACTCTTCCTTCTACAAACAAAACAATATTTTCATTAATAAACCACTTCCACTTGGCGTGACCGATCCTCCCCTCTCCCTCCTCACCTTCCCACTCCAGCTGGGAGCTTATTCCACAAACTTCAAAGCAAATCCCACCACAGCCTGGAAACGCTTCAAAAACACAGGACAGTGGGAAGAGGAGAAACAAGTATTTTAACTCGCTTTATTCCAGAGAGCGCCCACGAATCTCTTCTCCCCTGGAGACTGAGGGTGAAGGGGACTGTGAATTACAAACTCATCGCATCCAGCTCGATGCTCCAGTGGGACCCCATTTCTACCCACGGTGCCTCCAGGTCATGGACCAAACTCTGCTCCTCATCGCACCCAGAGATGAAAGCCACGGATGGGGATTGCTGGGGGTAGAACGTTATCTGTAGCTTAATCACCTTTGTTCAAGGGCATTCGTTATTTAAGCCCCCTGTGGCCCCGCAGATCGGAGGGGCTGAGCAGAGCACGCTCCCGTCCATCCCATTTTCAGCCCTCCCCTGCGTATCCTTGGCAAAGGGGATCCCACCCAAAATGGCAAGGGACCAAACGGGAGGGTTTTGCAACGCGCCCGCGGGAGGAAACCGTCTCCTTTCATCCTCTGCCAGGTCCACCCCGGCTCTGCCTCTCGGGCTACCAGCACGGGAGGCACCCACGGGAGATGGCAAACGTCCGCCGGGACAAAAAAAGCCCAGGAGTGGCATCAGCAAAGGTCTCTCAGTTCAGGCTGGCACCGTGACTGCTCGGAAGGAACCCTTCCCGGCAGCCCAGCCCTGACTCCGCTCAGCAGCAGGATTTTGGCACTGCAGAGGGCACGCAGGGCTCGGTGTAAATAAGTTGGGGGTTTGAGAGGGGTCGGGGCATCGCTCTGCCCTGCGACCGGGCTCTGGAGATGCCATGGAGATGCCATGCAGACACCAGGAGCTCGGCTGGGGTGGAGGGGGAGCAATCCCGGGTCTGCAGGAGGCTGCGAGGAGCGAGGGCATCACCCAGAGCCACCTCTGCCTCGTCCCACGGAAACCCCAGCCCCACCGCGGGGCCACGCTTCCCACAGGGTGGCACGTGAGACCTCCTGGTTCCTGGCAGTGCCCGGCATCACCCTGTGCCACCCCCAGCTCCTGGGGACACGGGGGGCTCTCTGGGGACCCCCTGGGCACCGGCTCTGCCAGCGAAGCTGAGGTGCCAGCAGGGCCTTGAGGAAGGGTTCCCTGTAGGAGCAGAGGTAGCAGCAGGGTGACAGCGCAGGGGACAGCAGAGGGGGGGGGCCTTCACCATAGCTCTGCTGAAACAACACGGGAGAGTCACTGCTGGGCATGTGAGGATGCCCAGCCACACCACAGAATCACAGACTGGTTTGGGTGGGAAGGGACCTCAAAGCCCCCCCAGTGCCACCCCCTGCCCTGGGCAGGGACACCTCCCACCACACCAGGTTGCTCCAAGCCCCCTCCAACCTGCCCTTGAACCCCTCCAGGGATGGGGCAGCCACAGCTTCTCTGGCCAACCTGGGCCAGGCTCTCACCACCCTCACACCAAACAAGTTCTTCCCCACAGCTCAGCTCCATCTCCCCTCTTTCAGGGTCAAACCCTTCCCCCTCCTCCTAGGGCTCCCCTCCCTGATCCAGAGTCCCTCCCCATCTCTCCTGGAGCCCCTTGAGGGACTGGAAGGGGCTCCAAGGTCTCCCCGGAGCCTTCTCTTCTCCAGGCTGAACCCCCCCAACTCTCTCAGCCCCCCCTCCCAGCAGAGGGGCTCCAGCCCTCCCAGCATCTCCGTGGCCTCCTCTGGCCCCGCTCCAACAGCTCCATGTCCTTCTGCTGGTGGTGGCCCCAGAGCTGGAGGCAGCACTGGGGGGTGTCTCCCCAGAGCGGAGCAGAGGGGCAGAATCCCCCCCTGGCCCTGCTGGCCACGCTGCTGGGGATGCAGCCCAGGGGTGGGGGTTTCTGGGGTGCAAACAAAGCAAAAACAGGCACAGAAATTATTTTATCCTCAGGGCAGTGCGGTCAGGAGGCTGTGGCATTGGGATGGGGTTTGGCACCAAAGCAGGGACCTACAGGGAGGTTTGCCCCACACTGGCAGCTCCTGCCTGCACCCAGGAGCTCGACACCCACCAGGTGAGAGTCAGGCAGCCCCTTCCCTGTGCCCGGGGGGGGCAAGGAGCCAGGGGAAGACCTATAAAAATGAGAAATGACAGCACAGCGCCTGCTCCGCCACTGACCTAAGGGAAGGGAAAGGTGCCATCGCAAAAACGAATCACACAAACCCATTAAAACATGAGCATCTGTCAAAATAACACCATTTCAATTAAGTCTTTGCTAATGTGTTTTTCTAAAGCAATTCATCTGCATACCCTGCAAACACCAGCGGAGAGCAGGAGGCAGAAACGCTCCTTCTATTCATTTTGCTTTCCTGGGTGTTTTTTAAAGCTCCCCAATGGTCAGGGCGAAGACACGAGCGGGAACCGCAGCCTCAGACATCCCTGGCAAATCACCCCGTGGCGCTGGAAGGTCGAGGACCGTGACACCAGACCAGGCTTGGGCTGCACCCAGTGTCCCCACGAGGCACCTCGGGACCCCCGGAACCAGATGGGAAGCTGAAACATGGGGGTCCCGACCCCGACTTCCAGCACAGCGGCTGGAAGCACTCAGGCGCTTTAAGGATGAGCAGATTGATATTCTTGTAGCTACAGATGTGGCTGCCCGTGGACTTGATATTGAAGGTGTTAAAACAAGGCACCGAGCAGGAGGAAGGGGATGGGGAAGGAGGAGAAGATGGAGAAGCCTGAGGAGAGAAGGACATGGCTCAGGCAGCCCCACACAACTGGTATCTGGGGGGCTCTCCCCGAGTGCTCACCCAAGTGTCCCACCCAGCCACCCTGTTGTCCCAGTAGCTTGGGGGACGAGGCCAGGCACCTGGGGGATGGCCAGGAGCACCTTGGGGTGCCTGGTGATGGCATCACTCCCGTGCTGCCAGGGACCAGAGGTGAGAGGGAGACACCACAAGCATCTCCCTCCCCCCCAAGATGTCATATTAAAATTTCGAGAGAAGGACCGTGCAGGATGTGGGTCCCAGGTCACCCTGCCCTCCCACAGAGCCACCCGGTCCTGTCCCAAACCCGCCCGGTGACAGAGGAGCATCCCCAGGCCAGGACGCACCGGGATGAGGATGCTCAGTGGGGCAGGCTGGGGGGGCTCTGGAGGGAGCTGGGGTGCCAGGATGAAGCTTTTGCCAAAATTCCTGAAAAAAAATAATAAAAATCCCTACCAGGGCTTCCCTGCCCAGGGAAGGAGGGAAGAGGAGACGGCGGGTGGAACGGGTGACAAAAACTGATGCTCACGTGTCCCCCAGACATGGAGAAACCCTCTGCACAAGCACCCTCCACACTGCAGTGCCCCCCAAAACCCCACTGGGTGCTCTGACAGCACGCCCATGCCAAGAGTCACCTCTTGGGCACCCCACTTTCCCCCTCACTGCTCTGGGGGGACAAACAGCCCCCCCAGCACCCTCCCAGTACAACCCTGACCTCGCAACTGGGCTGCAGGCGGCCAGACCCCGCAACAGCAAACCCACCCTTGGGGAAACCCAAAAGGCCTTTTTTTTTTGGGCCTCCAGATGCTGGTGGTGACGCGGTCGCGCGGCTGCCGAGGTGAAGCGAGGTGACAGCTCTCCCACCCGAGTGGCACATGGCTCTGGAAGTGGCCCCGAGGGCTCAGCGTGGCCGTGCCAGCGTCTCGCTGTGGGGCCAGCCCCGCTGTCCCAACGTCTGTGGGATAAAATAAAGGGTCTCACACCTTCCCCCGAGCTACAGCCACCAGCGTGAAAGGGTCCGGCAAAAATCTCCCGTTTCCAGCCCGCAGGTGTTTTAAGGATTCAGGGATTTCTGGGACGAAGCCAGGAAAAAAACCAGACTGCCCGCTTTCAACTCCTGGCATCTGTCCTACAGCCAGTGCCAACCTGCTCTTCCCTCCCTTCCTATCGGGAGCAGGGATCTGAGATTGGGCAGCAAACACCCTCTGCCAGCCCGGCGAAACCCCCAGGTTGGCAGGGGCTGCTGGAAGAGCCCCCCACCAGCGGCGTTTTGCTCTGTTCACACCAGAAAATCCCCAGAGATGGAGCCACCACCAAAGGTGGTCACACTCCCCAGCCCATGACACGCACTGGCAGTGCCCACGAGCCTGGCTTTCCTGCAGGCACCGAGCAGGAGGAAGGGGATGGGGAAGGAGGAGAAGATGGAGAAGCCTGAGGAGAGAAGGACATGGCTCAGGCAGCCCCACATCAGTATCTGGGGGGCTCACCCAAGGGCACCCAGTGTCCCACCCAGCCACCCTGTTGTCCCAGTAGCTTGGGGGACGAGGCCAGGCACCTGGGGGATGGCCAGGAGCACCTTGGGGTGCCCGGTGATGGCATCGCTCCCGTGCTGCCAGGGACCACAGGTGAGATGGAGACACCACAAGCATCCCCCCGACACCCCATCTCTGCCTCACCCCCGCCAACGCACTGCCCGTGTTAAAAGCACAGACACCCCATCTCTGCCTCACCCCCGCCAACACACTGCCTGTGTTAAAGCACACACGGGATGAGGATGCTCAGTGGGGCAGGCTGGGGGGGCTCTGGAGGGAGCTGGGGTGCCAGGATGAAGCTTTTGCCAAAATTCCTGAAAAAAAATAATAAAAATCCCTACCAGGGCTTCCCTGCCCAGGGAAGGAGGGAAGAGGAGACGGCGGGTGGAACGGGTGACAAAAACTGATGCTCACGTGTCCCCCAGACATGGAGAAACCCTCTGCACAAGCACCCTCCACACTGCAGTGCCCCCCAAAACCCCACTGGGTGCTCTGACAGCACGCCCATGCCAAGAGTCACCTCTTGGGCACCCCACTTTCCCCCTCACTGCTCTGGGGGGACAAAC